GTTCCCGCCGTTTCTGCGGGTGACGGAAATTTGGGGGTCGAGGGGAAAACAGAACCGCCGAAAAGCGCGCTTTGTGCGTCGGCTTGCTGTGTTTCACTGGGAGCCGGCGCATGGTTTCCTGCTGCCCTCGAGCGCCTGCACAGCGAGGCTTCGTTTCTCGGTGAAGGAGGAATAGCCCGTTTTCTATTGAAGTTGCACACTTCGTGTTTTGTAGGCCTTGGGTTCTGCACGCCGGGGAGACGGGGCACACCTGCCCGCTGGGCAAAGCTCTCCGCACACAAGCGGGAAGCCGACGCAAAGAAGCAGGCCTGAAGTGCGGAGCTTCAGCGCGGTGCGTGGCTGCCCTTGCAGCGAGGAGCTGGCAACCGCTGATGACCGTGAAGGCATCGAAGGCGAGGCACCAGCCAGTGACAACTGCGTCTGGCACCCTTCCAGTTCCTCTGATCAAACCCGTCCTCTCTCCTGCCCTGGTGCAGCTACACCTGGACGCTAGCTAGTACATGGCACCCAGGACCACGCAGATCTTGTCTATGCTTGTGGTTTTATCGTACTCGGTGTTGATTCAGAGGAATTTATTGATGACACCGACTAAGTCAGCAAGGACTATTCCAGGTGTAGACAAGTGCCTACAAAGCGCATGCTGCAGAAAGAAAACAGGGAAGAACCTACACGCTAGCGCTGCAGTCGTATTTCCTTCAAGAAATCACTCAAACGCAGTAACAATCTTCCCACGTTCCATTTTTTTTCCCATCACCAAATTACTGAAGCAGTAGATTGACACGTACATTTTTCAGAGTAAATTACGCTTTCTTTCTTTAGCCTGATAGTCACTGCAACCTGATGCCTACAGTGCCAGGCAGGCTATTTTTAAAACTCTTCTACAGATACTGACAATATACTTAGACACATAACATCATAATCTTTTATGCATTACTTTTTTGTAGGGACGAATATGCAAATTTTTTTCAGTTGCACTTTTAACATTAAATGGTTTCCATAAGCTGCAAATGAAAAAAATATTAAAATATTCAGATATTTAGGAATATCAACAATAAAACCTTAAGTAGTCATGTCTTCAGTGATTAAAAAAAAAGTTGCATTTTTTAAAAATCTAGGAAGCAACAATTTTTTTAAAATGTAGCTGTTAACATCAAACTAAAACCACTGCTACACACAAAAAAAGCAAATTTCCCCTTGTTTTCATATTTAAGAGTAATTGCTTTCTTCACAGAGAATCTGCAGCCAGCCTTCAGTAACGGATAGCTTTGTGCTGGTGAAAAGAAAGAGCTGAGTATGTGACCTTGGTTTGTATTTTTTCATTTAGGGCCAATCATATTGCGATTAAATTCAACTTTCCTATAGATTTCCAAGTCAGGAAAATGCTGTTTCTAATACATTGGGCTGACTGAAAGAGCAGCTATAGAATGGATCAAATCCATCATGAACAATAATATTATCTGAATGATGCATACCTTAAGGTGGTTCCAAGAGGCAGCTCAAAGGACTGGATCTCAGCAAGGGCATTTTCATATATCTGATCTTTGTTTTCTTCTATAAACAATTCTGACAGATTTGACTTGCTTTTCCTTGCCATAGATTAGCATGAAACTGGTTTAACTTTAGGAGAGGACTTTTGTTCTGATTATTATCGTTGCCGAAGTGGCTCCGTAGTCAGCAAAACCAGGCATGAAAAAACAGATCCTGTGCTAACCTCGTGACTCCTGAGGACTTTGTGTCCAAGAATGGTGCACAGCTGCTGTTTTCCTGTCTCTGCTGGTAACATTTGCCTCGTATGCAGCACCCAGGCCTGCACAGTCCTTTTTGCGTTTGCGTCCAATTTATCTCAACAGGAAATTTACTGGCAAAAATCATATTTTTACATCCTTGTAGTAGTTCACCGTAATAAATATTAAGCTTGAAATTTAGTCAGTTCGAAAACACAATTTTAAAGTCATTTCAGACACTAGATATCAATGCTCAATTTCTCTGTTAAGTTTTATGAGATTAAAAATGCTATTCTTTTTTAAATACTGTATTTTTCCTTTGCTGTATAAAAAGCCTGCACACACAAGAAATTAGCTGATTTATGAAGCAGGATTGTAGACCTTGTAAAGCAGACTGGAAAAGCAGAGAAACTTTTATGTTCTCATCTTTTCCCTTTTCAGCATCAGTATGTGCTAAGAGAGTGCAAAAAACGTTCTGGGGTAACTGTGATTTTTATATGAGCGTGCAATAAACAGAACTGTTACTAATTCATTACCTGCGTGGAAGAAAAAGAAAATGGGTAAAATCCTACAAATACTGAGAGCAGTGCCGCTGTGAAGTCATTTTCGTTACGATGATGGCAAAGAAAATACTTTGCACAGCTGCTGCCAATTACTTCAATTTCAGGCAGTTATTTCAAACATGAAACTGGACTTCTAGACCTTTCAATTTAAACAACTTTTTAGAAGCCAAACTCAATATTGTGGGGCATAGTTAATCTTATTGTATTCAGTTATTTTGGATATTTCGAAGGCTTTAATCAAAATTTGCCTCCTGTCTCAGTACTGCTCCTGACAAAACTGATGGGAGTCTTGACACTGGTGGTGCTGTCAACAGTTAATTGAACGAAAACAGAAGTTACTCATTTCTGACTGGGGCAACATACTGTTTTTTCACTTCTCGGTGCCCAGTGGGAACACTGACAATTTCATGTCAGTAGCATTGGGGAAGAGCTCTAAAGGCTACAATGAGTTACACACATACACATCTGTAACTGCTGCACTTGAACAAGCTGCTTTAATAATCGCCTATTTATTTTTAAACCAAAATTAAGCAGTTGCTCTGTGAGCATTAATATCCAATACATTTCCTGCTTTTGTGTCCTAAACAGAGTTGTGAGCCATTTATACACTTTTATACACTTTTCACAAGAAATTGGAGCCTGTGATTGACCCATCCAGCCACTGGATGTCACACAAATGCAGATGAAAGGATACCGTAACTACTCATTCTGTTCTTAACAGACACCAGATTCAGCATTAATTTCTGAATTATGAAGTGACACCGTGAAAATCAACTGCAAAAATTATTACATGGAATAAGCTGAAGCTTAAGCTTATTCATGTGATAGAAGAAAGTACATCTGATGACACTGTGGCAGAGCACAAGCAAGCCAGGTACGTCAGAGACGCCTCAGACATCTACACCCAGCCACCACACACCACAGCTCACAAGAAAAATATGATGCAGTGATGGGAGCATGATGCCCTAGAGAGTGTGCTTTTGTGACTGTTTTAATGTGATTTTTAAGTGAGTTTGATAATTACAGAGGGTTTTGGACCAATCTCTTCTTCCTTCTTTCCCAAAAACTCATGCACAGAAGCTTGCTTTAGGAATAAATCACCCAAAATAAATGGTACTCTGAATCTGTTGTGCAAATGTTGTAGGTATCACAGATGCCTGGAAAGAAGTATGTTTAATAACAAAACAAAACCATGTAGAAAAAAAGCGCAAACAAATACAAAATTGAATGAGCAAGAAATAGGCAGGTGTCACATCTGTTTGGTTGTGGAAATGGGTGCTGAGGCACCTTGTATCTCTGCACAGGGTTAGACCAAATTGCACTGAGCCCAGCTGCTTGGCTCTCTGGAGTGGTTTACACCTATGCTGAACCCATGCAAGACTGTGAAGTGTGGAGAAGGATCTAACACATAGTGGTGGATCTGTAGCTGACCCCAGATCCGTGGGCAGGAGTCCGTTAGTACCTGCAAAAAGCCCTTTCTGCTGCAGGCAATACGGGTTCTTCCCCGTCCTTTCTGTCCAACCCGTGCTCCCCCTTTCCCTTCCTGCCTTCTGCGCCTCCCTACCTCTTCCATAATCCTGGCGCTCATTAGATGTGCCCAAAATCTATGTCCTTTAGCCACACATGAGCTTTTGCTTCCTCCAACCAAGTTTAGGGCCACTCTCAGAAGGCTTTAGGGAACTACCTTGTCCAAGGAAACAAAGCTTTTTTTTTTTTTTTGCAGAAAGACAAAAGGACAAATTCAGTACTGTGACATGGCACAGGCCGATTGATACATTCATAAACTTCTGGCAGAACAGTGTATCTCTACTTCACAACTATACCTAACATGCTCAGAATCATAGAACCACAGAATGTTAGGAGTTGGAAGGGACTTCTGTGGGTCATCTAGTCCAACCCCCGTGCTGAAGCAGGGTCACCTACAGCAGGCTGCACAGGACCTTGTCCAGGCAGGTCTTGAATATCTCCAGAGAAGGAGACTCCACAACCTCCCTGGGCAGCCTGTGCCAGGGCTCCGTCACCCTCAGAGGGAAGAAGTTCTTCCTCATGTTCAGATGGAACTTCCTGTGCCTCAGTTTGTGCCCATTGCTCCTTGTCCTGTCACTGGGCACCACTGAAAAGAGCTTGGACCTCATTTTTCTTGAAGTGGGAAGCCCAGAACTGGATGCAGTACTCCAGATGGGGCCTCACTAGGGCAGTGTAGAGGAGGAGGAGAACCTCCCTCGACCTGCTGGCCACACTCCTCTTAATGCACCCCAGGATCCCATTGGCTTTCTTGGCAACCAGAGCACACTGCTGGCTCATGGTCAACCTGTCGTCCACCAACAGACCCAGGTCCCTCTCCACAGAGCTGCTCTCCAGCAGGTCCACCCCAAGCCTGTACTGGTGCATGGGGTTGTTCCTGCCCAGGTGCAGGACCCTGCACTTGCCCTTGTTGAACTTCATCAGGTTCCTCTCTGCCCAGCTCTCCAGCCTGTCCAGGTCTCAGAGGCTGCATCTAATTAGACTATCAGCAAAGACAGTGCTAAGTATTTAACTTTTTTTTTTTTAAATTTATGGTAGTCCCCATGCTGAGAGTAGGAATTACCATTTCCGAGGCATCATACTTGTGCTACTTGAAATTTAACCAGGGCAAGAGGCCTGAGAAAGTATTCATCTGCTAGAAGTCCCTGACAGAAAAAATGGAAGATATTTTCTGTGTTTGTTAAATTCTCGCTGTTTCTGTGAAGGTGTTTCATTGCCTGGACAGGCAGAAACCTCAGGGCCCGTGAGCCATAAAGACAGCTGCTGCCATCTTTCTGAACATCCTGAGATTTTCCTTGGAAAAAATATACCAAAGCACCTATTTCTTGCTGAAGGTGTAGAAATGGTTCACCACCCTGTATAGAATAAGAGGGGAAATTGAGGCAAATATGAACAAGATTGTGAAGCAGGATGCAGAGTCTTATCTAGAGCAAAACCCACTTTTGCCACACCCTTTCTCCCTTTCCTCTCCCAATTCCTACGCTTCCCCAACCCCAATGGGATACCAGAGGGCCAAGAACTGCTGGTGTAAATCTAGCCTGCCTGTGTTAATGGTTTAAAAATACATTTTACCCACATGACAATTACAAAAAGAGTAGCATGTGCTATACTAGAGAGTCATCCCTACTGGGTATGTAATTCCAGTGTAGATTACTTTTAAATTACCATTGCAAGATTAGCAACACCAAGTCATCAGAGATTTGTTTAATTTTCTTTCCCAGTTGGATTGGAAGCCATTTTGAATGGTTCATGGAAAAGAGGGAAGGGGGGAAAATGTCCACTCTCAAATGGAATTACTGTAGATAATTTTCACACACAATGCCATCCATAACAAGTGACTTCATTAGTCATTGCCTGGATAGCTCCTCTTTACATCCCCCCACAAGGACAACAATGGCATTAGTCATTCCTCTGGCATCTCCTTCTCTGGTGCTGCCTCCTTTCCTGGGCTCATCCCCAAACTGGACCCTGGCAAACCAGCCCATTCTCCCTAGAACCCGCACCAGCTGCTCATGTTCCCTGTCTGCCTGCTTCTTTTCTGGTGGCCAGACCCATTTCTGCCTGCCTCTCAGATGAAGCATGGTGGCAACAACCCTGTCAAATCGTTCGTGGGACAGACAGGCAGATAAGGAGCTGCTGGAATTACTGCTATCTTTTGCTTCAGTGCAGATGTGCTTTAAGAAATTCTGTTTAATCTGTAACCTGACCAGCCGCCTGAGCTTCTTGACGAATACTGCCATCAGAAGAGTTACCAGGGGGAAGAAGGGAACTCGTGACTTGTTTCTTGCTCCTTTGTCTAGTCCTCCAAATACCTCTAATCACCAACATGCATATAACCTGTACCTCACCATCAACAGTACAGCAGCATCTAGCTCAGCCTGGCCCATTTGATGGGGACAGAATGATTTTTCTCAAATATACCACTGAAAGTTTGGAATGAGAAGGTGACTAATATAGTGCTCAAGACTATGCTGCCAGGAATCAGGCACCTTTGCCCAACCCAATACAGCAAGAGTAGCTACGCAGGAACAGATAATGCAGTGTAACCTATGCGGTAATAACCTATGTACAACATAGGCTGGGCTGAATGGAGTGCCTAGAGAGTATCAGCTTGAGCTGGCAGCGACACACTGAAGACAGCAATCTTTTCTCTATCCAAAGGGTCTTCTGGTACCTTTCTAGGCCCCTTCATTCATTCATACACAAAAAAAGTATTCTTTGAATTTTTAATTTTTTGAGATAAAATCATGCAATTACGTATGAAATAGGAGTTCAAAATTAAT